ATCAAGACAAATTTTCTTGATTGGATAGTGTGAGAATTATGTCTGTAATCGAATTATTTAGTCAAGAAAATGAGCAAAAGCAACATTCGAAGTAGATAGTAAAAACATGTGATCACTGCATTGAGGCATCAATTAAAATCATAAAATAGCAAAATAGTACATGTGATGGGTGAATAGGTCCATAACAAAATAGTACATGTGATGGGTGAATACCCCAATACACAACATAAATTCCTACTGATAATTGTTTCTTCAGGTACTATCAAAATCAACTTTGATGGTGCTACATGCAAGGATTTAAATTCTTCTGGTATTGGGGTAGGTATCAAAGACTATAATGGTTTTTTTGTTGCTGATATGTGTCAATATGTTGGAAAATCAATGGATATTGTATATATGGAGGCTATGACTGCCTTATCTGGATTGAAATTTGCAATGGAATTAAGATATGAAAGAGTTATGCTTGAAGGGGATTCAAAAATAGTTATGGAATGCCATCAGTAGGAGGGAGCCTAATTTTACTAATATTGGCACATTTGTGGAACAGATCCAACTTCATGCATCTAATTTGTTAGAATTCCTTATGAGGTGGACATGTCGCTCTAGAAACAATGCTGCTGATTTGCAATGTAATGACTCTATTAGTTGGAAGAGAGATTGTCCTGAGTTCATGTATCCTTTCTTTCAACAAGATAGAATACTTACTTGATGAAATAAAATATTTGTTGTTTCGTATCAAAAAAAAAACATAATGGTCATTGATACAATACTAATTTGGTAAATTACATCTAGGCCCTCAGAAGCTTGTCACTAAATCACATAGATCCCCTCAAGGATACTAAATTATATTGACACCCTCTTTAGGTAACTGCCAATTAACAGACCTAATGGAAGCTACAAAATGAACATTGATGGGGCATTTTTAAGACATCAACAAAAACCAACACGTGTCCTCGGCACAAGAGCCCTCAGAATTCTTGAATTGTGACACGTGTCCTCAACACGATGGTTCCTCAGAGCACTATTATTGAGACATGTGTCATCAGCACCAAAGTTCCCTCGAACCCATCTGCGATGGACACGTGTCCTTGGCACCCAAGTTCTCTCAATGCCATCTGCTAGTGGCAAGTGTCCTTGGCACAAAGTGTTTTGCAAAATACCTACGAGTGACACGTGTCCTCAACATATGACACCTCGGGGTGTCAAGATAGCAACACGTGTCCTCAGCTTGACTGACTCTCCCAAGATCTATTTCCAGACACGTCATCTTGGCTCTAGGGCCCCGAGGCAGAGGTGTTAGAATACCAATGGGTCTCTAATCTAACAGTACTCCTTAATTTGTGAAAATTTTGTCTTCTTTAGATCAAGGGTTCAAACCCCATCTCCCTCCCAAAAAAAAAAAAAAAAGGTGTCAAAATGACAACTATTGTTACTTGGAGTTAAACTTAGTCAATAATCATGAATTCTCTTCCTAAAATAGTCAGAATGGTAGAGGGGACAGACTCACACCCAATGAAGATGTTACACGTGGCAAAGAGCACAAAAGCAAGGGCGAAAAGACGAAGATGCTCTCACTCGTACGCAGCCATTACAGTCAAGCATTGAATAATCCCTCATAAGGATGGGGCATAGTAAATGCTTGGAAAGTCCAGAATGAAGAGCATTAAGTGCTCAAGAGCCAGAGCATTTAATGCATGAGCCTCTTCCACGCAAGATGGAAAGTGCTCTGTCCAAGAACTGAGCACCACTCACTGCCTTCCAAATGGGCCAATGGGGGACCTCTTCTTCAAGAGGCTTACCTGTCAATAATGATCACCTCTAGGGAGGTATAAGTAACTCTCTAAAATTCAAAGAAAAGGTACACAAACCAGACAAAAACAATAGAAAAGTGTTTTTCCCTCTCATCTCTCACGTACTGACTTGATCGTCGGATGAGTCACGCTAAAAAACATTCTGGCGCCTTCTAACCTTCTTTTTTGAGTGGTAGAATTCATTTCAACATGCCGAAATTGCATGGACAGCTGGAGAAACAATTCATCACCACTGCTTACGATTTTTCTCGTTTCCTGTTGTTTCGAGACCATCGACTTTCAGGTAAATTTATGTTCACCAAAAGAGAGATCTGTTCTTTTCTTCTATTGTGCGAAAATAACTATGCACAAACATGTTATCCTCTATAAAAACACAAATAAAATCAATCCGACACAGACCCAAATATCACGCCCGAATTTGACCCATATCGACCCGACTCCGTAACTCACTCCATGTTTTCTCCTCTTTCTTTTTCTGCACCGCTTTTACTGTACTCAATGCAGTGACTGCCAACCAAACACCATCCTTGCAATCACCTATTCCCATCTTCGTCACTGGAACCCATCATTCACCTCTACTCACCACAACTACCAAGCGAGATATCCCAACACACCCTACTGCAAACTTCCCATGACACACACCCTACTCCTGTTTGTAGTGGTTGAACGCACTGACACTAGCGACTCATCGCGTTCTTCTTTGATTTTTGGCCAAACAATTATTGAACCATAACCCATTGGATGGGTAGTGCTAGTGACAGATCTAGTTTTGCTAGAGTGAAGGTGTGGTTCTGAGAGAGAGAATGAAAAGAGTTGGGTCGTGGTTCTAAGTGTTGTGATGGACATAATTATTTTGTGTGTGTTTGTGGGTGGTGGAGGCAACAATGGTTTCTGGTGCATTCGGTGTTGGGGTTGGTGATGAGGTCAAATGGCATTTTCCTTACTTAAAATTTGTTAACGAAAATAATGGTGGGAATTTAGGGATTAATTTCTTAATTAATGGGGGTTTTATTTCTTAAGTTAGCTTAGCGAAATAATGATGTTAATTAGCTTGACAATGAATGTTAATTAGCTTTAGTAATGGGTAAATCAAGTTTAATAAATCACTTAAATTAACTTAACAAAATGAATGATCGTAATTATGGTGGTTAATTGCTTAATTAATGGGCTAAATTATTGTTGGACTTGTGAGAGGTTTTACGAAAATTTGAAAATTATTGGGTTTTTGGTAGTTCAATTTTTTGGTTGTAATCGAATGGGTAATTTGAGAATTTTTTGATAAAACGTGTTGATGTCATGATAGTTTGACGGTTTTTGAAATGGATTTTAACAGTAGAGAATTATGTGTTATACTGGACCAAACGTTAAGGGAGCATGGCGTTATTTTTCATACTTGAGAGTGTTTATGTGATTTAATAACAAATCTCAGGATGTTTAAATGTAATTTACCTACATATTTACTTTGGTCTACTAATTGGTAGGTTATGAGTCATCTATTTAAATACAATATTTACAACACAATTGCAATATTTGCATCACCTCTTTATTTCCTTCAATTATAATTCTTATCCTCTTGACTTTAGCAAAGTGGCAACAGAGCAATTTTATAAGTGAAATAATTCTAACACAAATGGATCTTTGAAGCCTTGACAGAGTCATCACTTTCATGATGATGATGAAAAATTTACCAAACATTTATTTTTGGTGTAAACAAATAATGGTCTCTCAATACAAGAGAATGAAGATTATTCTTACTTCTTATTTTAAAGCATGTGATTTATGAAAATGTTATTGAAGAAAAGCAAAGGAATGGCTTGTTGAAAGAAGCTGAGAGAAGAAAAAGGAAAAGACACTAAGAGTTCTTAAGAAGGTCATACATTCCAAGATTTTTAAGTATGTTAGAGATTCAAGATCTCCACATTATTCTTTGGAAGTTGATTGAGGATATTGTCTTCAAACATAATTGTGAATTCTGATTCAAGGAGTATTAGTTTAAATCATTTGAAAAAGACGATTTCATAAAAGAAGAATGTAATTTTAAAGAAATGCCAATGGAGGATCAAGAAGAATGTCATCTTGATGAAGTTAAACAAGTTGAGGAGATCAAAGTTGATGTTGAAGTTCAAGAGGCGAGAGAAAATGATGAAGTTGAAGAATCATTTCAAGAAATGGAAGAAAAAGAAGTTTGCAAAGAAATTAAAACAAAAGATCAAGAAATTCACGAAGTTGCGAGGTAGGAAGAAATCAAGAATCTTTAGATTGTTAAGGATGATGAAATGGGATCTTATGCACTAAACATTAAAGATGGTTTTTTAAATGACAAACAAAATTGAAGGTAGTCAAGAGATTTTTTATAGTCATATTCCAGGTAATGATTTTTCTAAAAATAAGGAATTTGTATTTGCAACTTTGTGTAGAGACTGTTTTAAGTGAGATAAGTTGGATGAATATGGAGGCATTATTTAATTCAAGAGAGCTAGCACATGAAAAATTCAAGAATTCCAAGACAAAAGAAGAATAATTTAAAAGTTCCCAGAAGAAGATAGAAAAATTGAAGGTAAGTTGTACGTGCGAGAAAATTCATCTTATGATACCATAATTTGGAGGAAAGAGTACTTCGGTTGTTGGGATTCCATATGATAATTTCAAACACTACAGAGATACTGTGTCTCTCTTTCTCTCTCTCTCTGTGTGAGAGTCTCTCTACTCTCTAGAGTTTGCTTTCCCTGAGTCCGTCTTAGTTTTACCATCTCTTCTCTTTTGGTTCTACTGTCCACTCCCCAGCATCTATTTCTAGTATTCTCAGCACTTCTACTAGATTCCTCCAACTTTTGTTTCCTTAGCCTTAACCTCTCAATCTACCCTCGACCACAATCCTCCACCAACAAAACAACCATACATCCATCTCTGTCAAAACCCACTGTCCCACCTTCTTCTCAATTCTCCAAATCCCATAATAATAATAAACCCATTCTCTATCTACGCTCGGCCACTATCGAGTTGTGGGTAACCCCTAGTGATACAATTGCAGTATTGGGCCCTGGTAAATCTGAGCTACTTTGTAACTAAGCAGCCTGAAAGCCCAAATAGTAGCCAAGCCCCTTTGGCGCCTCTCCCTAAGCCCATTCTTAGACTTTCAGGATTCTAAATCAAAAGATATCCAAAAAACCCCATTCATCATGGGCCTAGGCAAGGAGGTGATAATAATGCTTTGGCCCAAGTTTGTCAAAGTATGTGTCTAAAAAGAAAGGCCACTGGACACAACATGGATGAAGAGGACAACATAACAAACAAGAGCAGGAGATCAAAATCTGGCCCCAAACCTGAGATTCATCTGGCTTTACCACCTACAAACACTAGCAAGTCTTCCCCAAGAAGCTCTCCTTCCAAATCGGATGCCATGACGGGTACAAGGCGTACTCGTTTATCCTTCAGAAGAATTGCTAGCAATAGGAAAAACAAAAAGAGGGGTTCAACTCAGGGGAATGGCTTCATGTCACTACTCGAAGTGGAAATTAAGGAAGCTGAATCTTGTAAGGAGCAAATTAAAGAAAGTGATCTTCAAATCAGCATGTCCCAATAGATTTCCCAGGCCCCAAGCTCTCTCCGTGATGATTTTGATTTTTCTTCTAATGAAGAAATGGTGGTGGTGGCTGGCCTTGAACAGCGACACGAGTCATGATGATTATCTTGGAAGTGTCATGGTGTCAGGTCATATCGTCCAGATATGATCTTCCTAATGGAGAATAAGAATAAAACGTGGAAGTTAGAGAGAATTCGCCATTCTTTGCACTATAAGAACTTTGTTTACATAGACCCAATCGGTCTGTAAGGTGGTCTAGCCTTAAGGTGGAAGGAAGGCATGAAGGTCGAAATCGATTCATCATAAAATACTTGTTGTAGGTTGAGGCAACCCCCAGCTTTCTGGCGGTCCACTTTCATTTATTCTCACCCGAATTTTGACAAAAGACACAGGATTTGGAGATGGTTAAGATCGCTTGCACATAATCAATCACTACCTTGGTTAATAACTGGAGACTTCAACATTCTAGGATCGGTGTGGGATAAGAGAGGAGGTAGAATGGGATCTATTAAAACAATCAAAGAATTTCAAAGCCTTATTTCAGACTGCGGAGTTATGGAATTGGACACCAAGGGACCAACAATAGAGAGGGGTGGCAAATATCAAAGAACGTATTGACCGAGTCCTTGCGAACCCAGAGTGGAGAGAAGTGTTCCCCTATGCCCAAGTCTTTCATGAGGCAAGGATGAGTTCGGATCACTGTTCTGTTGTGATTAACTTTGCCTTAAGGAAAAAGAAAATTCCCTATCAATTCAAGTTCAAGGCCATGTGGTTGGAGTCGGCGCAATACGAAGAAATCATTAAAAAAAGTTGGATCCATGTGGAACTCAATCCTGATTTAGAAAAAGTTTAGAGAAAGCTAAAAGATTACAGCATAGGAAATTGGAGAAAAGAAGCCTTCAGAAACAATAAGAAAATTCTTTCTAAACTTCAAGCCAAACTGGTACATGTACAAATGGAAGACCCCACCGAACATAATCTTGCAAATTAAAGAGAGATATTGCCTTTCTATGGCGTAGGGAATAAAAATACTAGATGCAGAGATCTAGAGTAAACTGGTTGAAGGTTGGGATCAAAAAACTAGATTCTTTCATATGATTACTATCAAGAGACGACAAAGGACCCAGATTTTGAGGTTAAAAACAAATGTTGGGGGTGTGAATTGAGGATGAACAAGCTCTAAATTCTCTTTTTTTTTTTTTTTATCATTTTCAAGATTTGTTTAGCGCATCGGAAGGCCGTGATTTTGAAAACGTTCTGGATGTTATCCGATCACTGGTTATGAATGAGATGAATTTAAGATTACTAAGGCCCATTACTGAAGCAGAAATCTCTAAAGCTACCAAGCAGCTTGGGGATCTCAAAGCCCTAGGCCCCGACGGATAGCCGAGGATTTTCTATAAAAAGTATTGGCATATAGTGGGAAAAGAAGTATGCAAATCTATTCAACATTTTTTCTTAGATTGCTTGATGTGGCAAGAGTTGAACACAACAAATCTGGTTTTAATCCCGAAAGAACCAACTCCAAAATCTATGAATCAATTTCACCCTATGACCCTCTATAGCTTCCTATAAAAGATCATCTCTAATGTCTTAGCTAATAACTTTTGTTCCACATCATCAAATCCAAGACAACATTCTCTTAGCAAAGGAAGCTTTACATGCTTTAAAAATTAGAAAGGGGAGAGAAAAATCCATGGCCATAAAGCTTGATCTAAACAAAGCATATGACAGAGTTGAATGAGACTTTCTTGAAGCAATTTTGTTAAGGCTGGGCTTTAACTCAATATGGGTCAATCTAATTCTCCAATGTGCCATTACAGTTCAATTCGAAGTGGTGGTTAATGGGACCGTGAAGTGAAGGGTCAAGCCACAAAGAGGCTTGAGGCAAGGGGTCCAATTTCCCCTTACCTCTTCCTTCTTGTTGCTGATGTGCTATCCAAACATATCTACAGAGATCTACATGAATGGCGAATTTTCGGTTTGAAGATTAAACGAAAAAGCCTATTCTCTCCCACTTTTTTTTTCGTTGGCAATTCTCTCCTTTTTCTCAAGGCCAACGAACAGGAAGGGTGTAATCTAAGATGCACATTATCCCGTTACAGTTTGGCATCGGGGCAACTCAATAATTTTCAGAAATCGGGATTTTTCTTCTAAAAAAACAATCCCGCGAAATAATGAAGCTATTTGAGTGAAGTTTTGGGAATTGAATCACTACCAAACTCAACCAAATACTTGGGCATTCATTCCTTTTGGGGAAGAGCTAAATCTCAAACTTTTAACTACCTAGTGGAGAGGATTATGAAGAAAATTCAGGGATGGAAGGAGCCGTATTTATCCCAAGCAGGTAAGGAAGTCCTGATTAAGGCGGTGGTTCAATCTATCCCAAGCTATGCAATGTCCTATTTAGCTTTCCCTAAGAAGATGTTTGATAAACTTACCTCTCTCGTGAGACGGTTTTGGTGGGGGAAGAATTGCGAACAATATTTTTTTGCTTAGAGTAGCCTTATGGATTAATTATTGTTTTACATGAGTTTAGTAATAATGTCGATAATGTTAGTTTATTTCTCTGGTATTCATTAGGTCGGTGAAAAATATCACTTTATTATTTGTCGTCCGCTGTATTTTGCATTAATTATGCACAAGGATGGTTGGTTAAGGCCTTGGTGGCCGGTCCTCTGCTCACCCTATGTGATCCGGGGTGGGGGTGTGACAGCCCTCATCGCGGTGATCGACTTTAACTCTTGGTCAGAGGGATTCCGACCGTCAGAACTCCGTAGATCGAAGAAAGAATATAGAAACCTTATTTTTTTTCTTTTCTCTCCTCTTTCTCTTTCTCTTTCTCTTCTAATGTGTGAAATCTGATGAAATTAGGGAGAAAATCAGATATTTCTCCCTATTTATACCCTTTAATTGTGCGGTCCACATTGCACCACATGTTTATTATTTTCGGGTCCATTTTTATCCTGAAATGAATTAATTTCATCCCGATTTAAGTTCAAATTAATTTTATTTGAAATTTCCTTCAATTATAAGAAAATTTTATAATTTTCATTTTTGGGGATGTTTGTGAGGTCATCCGACCACCAGTTGTCTTAAAAAATGTGAAAAATTCAACTATCTCGAAATTTGATGAAAATTGACTGGGCAACTTGATTTTACAATACGAATCTAACGGTGAGGTCCGTTGCGTCATCCGAGCTCTAAAAAAATATGAATTTTAATTCTGCATTATAGTGGCAAATTGGCACCGGTACAGTTAACCCACTGGACCTCGTCGTACCGGTACTCTTTGCCCACTTTTACCTATTTCACCTACTTTTCATTTCCAATCCATTCCAATCTATTTTAATATCATCCAAAACATGGTTAATAAGTTTTTTCACATCAAATTTATTATATACAAGTTCTATTACCGATAATTCCATACGATTACATACCCAAAAATATAAATTTCACAAAAGTTATACAAAATGAGCTATCAAAAGCCACAAGTTGGCTCTCTTCATCTTTGAGGCTCGAAATGAGAGTCATCTGCCGGTGTGAACCTCGCGCCTGAAATGTTTTCTTGTATGGGGTGAGCCACGCTTAATAGAGTATTTCCTACAGAGGCTATTCTCCCTCTAGATGCATATGAAATGTGCACATGCAACAAATAATAATCATAATTCATTCCATACAAGAAAATGTCATTCAAGATGAAAACTTTTACTATGTCATGATATGAGGTGATACTCACTCATGCACCTTAACCCGAGTCCTCACCGATTCCCACAACACAATGCAATGCACGTGTGTAATTCATTTGTCATTGATAAAACACATCCAATGATTTATTGAAATAAAGTCATGTGTTTATAAACCGAAACATTGTTGGATGTTTCCCATCGAATGAATACTTTATAAAACAAAACCACGTGTATTTATTGGGTATCGGATTTTGGAATCACATCGCTGGCTCTATACGACATTACACTTTTTTGGAATTGCACCACAAGGGAATGTATGAACCAAGTAGCCAGATCTTTCACTCGAGGTAGAATCCATCCCTTCTCGCTATACCCGACATAAGTTTTTCATGCAACCATGTGACTCAACGGGATCTTCGATTCAACCTTGCCGAGTCCACTTATCAACCACCAAGTATGGTGATCGATTAAACCATGCAACCACACACCTACACTTATGCCTAATGTCCATGAATATGATGCCAAAGTCATGCCCAATATGCAATGAATGTCAAATGAGCAATTTCAATATCCATATCATACCCATATGTAATGAATGTTACATGAATTATTTCTATCACATTTCAACACTTACATTTTCAATAGTGTATCACATCATAAGTGTATGATTTCAATTTACCATAACATCCAAGCATGTTATTTCAATCTCATCAAAATAACCCTTCAATCATTCAAGGCATATATTTTTGTAAAAGCATAACATGCCCACTTTTCATCACATAACACAAGAATCACCATAGGTAATTTCTACATACCTAATTCAAAATAGAATGTATTCTATCCATTTCTATACGCATTCCCTCATTTCCACGACGATAGGCAAGTCTATACACCTAACCACTCTCTATGGACACCATAAGATGGAAATAAACTAAAATAGGAGGGAACCCTACCTCTTGAAGCGGAATACGAAGAGTAGAACCTCAAGAAAACCTCCCAAGCCCAAGAACACCTCTCAAACCCCCAAAATCTTGATTTCTCTAAAATCTCCTCTTTGGATCTTCGGTGAAATCTTTCGTTCCTGGTATGGCTGCGTAGCCCTCGTTGCGGTGATCGACTTTAACTCTTGGTCCATGGGATTCCGACCGTCGAAACTCCATAGATTAGAGAAATAAGGTAGAAATCTTATTTTTTTTCTTTTCTCTCCTCTCTCTCTTTCTCTTCTAACGTGTGAAGTCTGATGAAATTAGGGAGAAAATCAGATATTTCTCCCTATTTATACCCTTTAATTGTGCGGTCCACATTGCACTGCACGTTTTTTATTTTCGAGTCCGTTTTTATCCCGAAACGAATTAATTTCATCTTGGTTTAAGTTCAAATTAATTTTATTTGAACTTTCCTTCAATTATAAGAAAATTTTATAATTTTTATTTTTTGAGACGTTTGTGAGGTCATTCGACTCCCAATTGTCTCAAAAAACGTAAAAAATCTGACTATCTCGAAATTTGATAAAAATTAACTAAGCAACTCGATTTTGCGATATGAATCCAACGGTAAGGTCTGTTGCATCATCCGAGCTCTAGAAAAAATACGGATTTTAATTCCACATTATAGTGGCAAATAATCATGTTGCCCTTTTTCGAAAAAAATTTAAATTTACCCAGATTTTATAAATATAATCAACAAGCAAATAGGGGAATGAAGGGCAGATATGATTAAACCTGTTGTTAATTCTAATGAATGGGAGGCTATCGAGGCCATACCCATATCTAAAGTTGCAGGGACAAATAACAGCATCTAGTATCCTAATCCTAAAGAGAGTTACACAGTGAGTTTCAGGTATGAGATGTCCAAGAATGGGGAAAACATGCATGAAAAGCAAAGGGGTAGCTTTTCAACAAGGCATGCCAAATTGTGGAAGATGATATGGTGGTTGAAAACATTGCCAAAAACGAGGCACTTTTGGTGGAGTGTCTGTTTCAATACTCTAATTACTTAAGAAAATTTATTTCTCAGGAATTGTGTGACATCTCCTATCTGCGCAATTTGTTGTAAGGAGGTGGAATCAATTGAACGTGTCTTTTTTTTTGTGATTGGACTTAGTTGGCATGGTTTGGCAGCGATCTGGGGATTAGGCCGATCTGACAACAATTTTGATCAATCCAAAAGTTGACTTTGAAGCTGATGATACCTAGAAAAATTCAAGTTTGAGCTCAACCATTGAGGTTAGGAAGGGAGCTTAGCCAATAAAGCTCGAGCTCGGTGGTTCAAACTTTGGGCTCTCTCGACTTGCACCTCAACGAACATGAGTAGAAAACAACTGACAATCACTAAACGCTCCCTCAACAGTAGTAAACGCCAGTCTAGGCGCAAGAACCTCAACCGCCTAAACTATCGCCTGAAATCAAGAAGAGCATTGCAAGAGATGGTGGAAGATCTGGGAACTAAGCTATAAATACCGTACAAGACCCTCCCATTGGGGGAGCAACAAAAAAAAAAGCAATATTGAGAAGACTACGTAATTTTTCCCATTTTTAATATAATTCATAGAAATAAGAGACTCTCTTGAAGAGTGGATTAACCGAACTCTTGAACTAGTGAACCACTATAACTCTTCTGTGCAATCTACCCTTTTTCCCCTGAAGTAGTCACATTATTCCCTAGAGCCTTGTACCTCAGATCGGACCTCATAGCATATATACTCTACTCAGCCGCATTCTGCACACCATCAGAAGCTATTGGAAGCAACAGATGATTGTAATCAGGCACTTGATGTCCTCGGCAAAGAGGCTACTATGGGCTGAATCATTTGGAAGATGAGGAATGAAACAATTTTCCAATATCTACCTCCAGGTCCGAAAGAGGCGATCCACAGAGCTCAACTTAACTGGGGAGAACAATCCCTTATCCACTCCAAGAAACAGAGTAACATCCGTACTCCAGTACAGCAGGACCGGTATCTAGCTCAGCAATGGCATCTGCCGCCACTGAGTTTGATAAAATTCACCTTTAAGCTTAGCTCCAAACTTGCTTCAATTGGTGTCATTGGCAGAGATTCTAACGACGTGCTAAGAGAGGGAATATCCAAACTTGTTCCTGTGGTATCAGCCATCTATTCAGAGGTCGCCGCTGTTCGAGGAGCCTGTTTGGTGGTCGTTACTCTCCAATGCTTCCATACTACAATAGAGAGTGATTATCAAAGTCTCATTTTACTCTGTACAAGAGAGGATGGTCCGCCATGGGAAATTGCAAACTTTGTTGAAGACATCATAGCAATAGCTTGAGTACTCAGCCTAAACCTGGTATATCGGTGTAGAACTACAAACAAAGCTGCCCCTTCTTTACCCATTCTTTAACTCAGAATTGGGTTTCAAATCACCTATCTGAGCCTAGGGCCATTTTGACATTTTACTGTTATCCACACTTTGCTAGTTGAATGAAAATTCAAGTTTCTTGATAAAAAAAACATACAGATTTTGTAATGACAAGAAAAATGTTTGGAAGCACCTTGCGGAATGTACAAATCAAGTGGAAAGAGCCCTAAAGAATGCAATGAAAAGATACTAAATTCGATCTTTCTCCTTCTCTAGTGAATGGTCAGATACACGATATTATTTTTCGATCCTAACCTTTTAGAATAGATTTCAATTTTTTTAAATCCCATTAATCGTTATTTCGATAGGAATGAGTCATAATTCAATAGAATTCCATCGTAAAACTCTCATTAAACCTAACTTTGATCTGAATTGTAATTCAATCGGATAAAATCAAAATTTTTTTTTTTGGATAAAATATATCTTTGGTCTCCAAACAATGTGCTTTGTGTCAAGTTGGTCCCCAAATTTTTAATTGTGTTAATTTGGTCTTTCAATTTTTTAATTTGAGTCACGTTTGTCCAATCAAAAACGACGGTTGGAATTTACTGACAGAGATTGTCATGTGCGTCTCATGTGATCACACTTGAGACGTATTCTTTGAAACTTTAGGGACTAAAGTGACAAAAACTGTAAACTTAAAAAACTAAAATGACACAAGTTACAAAGGTAAAGCGCCAAAGTGACCCCTTAGTTTGGTCAAGTGAACATCTCTGTTAGTTAATTTGAATTGCTATTTTCGATTGAACCAAAGTGATATAAATTGAGAAATTGAGGTACTAAATTGACACACAATTAAAAAAATAGTGACCAAACTAACATAAAATCCATACTTGAGGCACCGAATGTATTTTACCCTTTTTTTTCTTTCGAGAACGGTGGACTTTTTCAACCCTATATCCTCCTATTAAAAACACAGAGAAATTCAAAGATTTAGAGAGACTTCAACTTTTGTTCAATTGAACCATCTAATTAGTGCCAATGCTCCAAAAAATTCACATATGATACAAAGCCTAAACTAATCAATTACACTTATTCCCAAAAATGTATACACAAACATTCAAATACACAATTCATTTGAGAAGTGAGAGGATGTTGAAGAAGAAACAGAACCAGAAAACTGAGAAGATGGTGATGAAGATGACAATGAACACAAAGAGTAGCTAAAATTGAACTCTATCTGCAACCTCTGATGGAGAGAGAAATAAGAAACTGCCTCCTTTTTCTCTTCCTCTTCCAGTTCTCTTAATGGTATAGCTGCAAGAAATCTCTTAATAAATTCTCTGCAACACTCTTTTCCACTGCAAATCATCTCATCACTTTCCTCCTCAGGACCACCATTCTCTCTCCTGATCTTTTCCCTCTCTTTTATTTCATGCATCAAGGCTGAATCATCAAACTTTAATACAAAAGCTTGATTGCATCCCTCAAAGAGTCTTTCTCCTAATGTGTCAATGATATAGTAAGCTTTATCCTCCACCTTCAGCACAAAGAAATGGTCATTCCAACTCACTATATAAACCCTTGGCCCATCATTCTCTCCTATATTTCTGTCAATTTCATTCCATATCTCATCAAAAGACATAGCACCTTTCAAGGCCTCGAACTTTTCAGCACCAAAAAACCCAACGAATGATTTCTGAGGCAAAACGGCGACCGGCCGAAGATCAGCATTTAGAACAGTTTCGAGATCAAAATGCTTGTTGGGGAAATGGTTTTTGTGGGCGTCCTTGTCGCAGAGTTTTCGCCACTCGGAGGAACCTTGTATGATGAGACTATCGAATTGTGATTTTGTTGGGGTTTCATGTTGGTTTGATTGGAGCCAGTGAGCTATGACGGCGACTAGTGCTGTGCAAGCGCTTTCTCCAGCGGCCTCGTCGCTGCGTTGATCGAAGGAAGCGAAGAAGACACTGGCTTTGAGCTTTGTTTGACTATCTCTACTGAATATCTCCTTCATTTCCCAATCACAGGTCGTGCTAGTTTCACCCTGGTGATCTGATTCAGAAGAAGGTCCAATGGCGTCTGGTTTCTGGGAGGAACAAATATTCAAGAACATTTAGATATAAGTTCAAATTATAATCAGAGTCGTTTAAGTCAACCATTAACCTCAATTTTTTGAAAATTTGTCCCACCTTAATTGCAACTATCAAGAGGAAAGGGCACACAAGTGCATAAATTTGAACAAGAAATAAAATAAACAATACCTTTGTTGAACCGGCGATGGTGGAGTCAATGGAGTAAGAACCGGTGGATTGTGGGTCCAAATCAATCGTATTCTCATCGCTGCTCTTCCTAGTCAACGGTTCTACTTTCGTTCTCGCCGGTCTAATAAAGCTCAACCGCCTCCTCTTCCAAGAGAAGAACCCAACCTTCTTGACCGGGTCCAACTGAATACTGTCCGAACTCGACCCTAACTCAGTAACCAAACTCGTCTCTGAACAGCCTTCCAGCTGCAAATTCACCGACTCGTCCGAGTCACCCAAACTCAGTTCCTCTTGACTCAACTGTTTCTTCTTTTCCTTCCTATTATATACCGACCCATTGTGAGTTAAACCTTTCACCTCTCTTCTTCCCCCGGTTGAGTTCTGAACTGGTCCTACTGAGTCTTGACAATCTCTAATCTCCATAAAACTTATCAACACCTGCATAGACATAATTAATAAAAAAATTAAATATTATAATGTGGGCCCGTAAGATATAATTAATAAATAATTACAATCGTTGTTAGAAGTCTACCGTTCGATGAATTGGTCAGCTTAAAGCTGTCGTTCGAATTTATTTTCTTGTAGGAGTAGTAACATATAGCAGGGAATGGCCAAAGAAAGAGGATTGGGTAATCAACTTCAACTTTCCTCTAGTTCTCTTCTTTAATAAAAATACGATATCGAAAAGTGGTATTTGGGTACCATAACCGAACCCATATAAAACATATGATGGTGTGTTGGTATGATAAGCAACTTACAGTAAGGGTAGCTTCTCTGGCGATTCCGGTGACCTGTAAATTGATAGGTAGCTTGCTTTCAACTTGAGACTCCATTGTTGAGACCATTTCTGATAAATTCACAGATATCTGCCCAATCACTGCCAATTTCGCCTTGGACTCTCCCTATAATCACCCACAAATGATCAATTCACACACACACACATGTATTTGTAAAATCTAGCTAGAGAAGACAGTAATGGAGAACTTACATATAAGAGATTGAAGGACACATCCCACCGAACAAACTTGTCATCAATCGAAGACATCGAAAAGCAACATAAATTCTCAAACACCTCATCCCATTCAATTGCTTCTCCTTTCATCGCAATCTTCTCACTAGTCAAATCTATTCGTTGCTTTGACGAACGATGAAATGGGACTAACCCAAACTTGGGTTCACCTTTCCATTTCAACCTAATTGCTATAACTTTTTGTATCCCATCATTACCCCCTTTGTTGTCATCGAATCCTTCGAGCTTCACTGGCTTCACCCTAACCTGAAACTTCGTTGTCTCCGGCGCCGGCCACGGCGACCACTTCATCATCTTCACCAACATTCAAGAACTTGTCGACAGCAAGGTGAGAGAGACCGCGTTCAGTGTGAAGAGGAGAGAGAAAGGTGGGTTGTTCTTAAATTGGGAAGATGACAGCTATTTTTAATGATAGACGATGAAGCAGCAAAGAGACCGCGTTCAGTGTGAAGTTATCCGCACACGGTGTATGACGAGTAAGCCAATAAAAATATGCCACTTCGGTGAAAGATTTCACGTGCTATAGACGTGAGCCATTAATAATGACGTGGTCATATATAATTGGTGGATTGTATGAGACTCTGTAGAGAGTGAATGTATTGGATGAGTAATTGGTAGGTAATGGAGCCCTGGTCGTCAGATATCAAATGGGGAAGTGACACGTAACGAGGGGCAGGAAATTTAAACACGTGAGGGAACGCGTGAGATTAGCTAAATCTTTGCGAGATAGATATCCGGGTCGTAGAGGAAATGGTATTGCGTTGTGATGAATACTATTACTATAATGGTTGTGGGCTTCCAACTCCAAGAAAGGAGAACCTGGTCCACATCCTGACACGTGTACACATATATATTTTTTTTTTGGGGTTGAACTTCTCCGCATAACTAGATGAATAGAAGATTGAAAAATATTGAATAGAATAGAGACACCACATTATTATTGTTGTATATTGTTGTCATTTAATTAAAAAATGACAAATAAATAAAATAAATATCATTATTTTTATAATTATTCATAACCACTACATCTAATCATTAACACATAGAATTAACAGAATTTATTTCATCTACTTATTATTTTTTAATTAAATAGTGACATCATATGACAATGATAACGTAATATCATTGATGCATTAAATATTATGGTTTATTTTTCTTCCCAAAAAATCGTCTATTATTAATGAACAAAAAATTCACCCCTTCAGAATTCATAATAAGAGATCTATACATGTTATATAATAAAGTATAAAGAATTTTAAATCTCAAAAGACATACAAAAATAATTTTTATTTTTTGTAGTTCAAGTCATTTTCAAGTCCTCTAAATTTAATTGGAGGTTTGATATTAATTCTTCAAACTTTATATTCCCATCAAATTACTTATCTCATACTCTCTTCCTTTATTTTTCACCTAAAAAGCCCCTCTCTTTTATGCCCAATTTTAGTCATCTCTCTCTCTCTCTCTCTCACTCTCACTCTCTTCCTTCATTTTTCATCTAAAAAGCCCCTCTCTTTGATGCCCAATTTTAGTCCTCTCTCTCACTGACGATGATTCTCCCTCTCACATGGATTCTCTTGGTGATTTTCTCTCTCTAGAGAAAGAAAATATTCAATATAATTGTGACATGGTATTATCAACTAATAATAAAACTCTAAATTGACAAAGGAAACATCACTTGAATAGCTATTAACTTACACGGAAGAAGAGTAAGTAGTTACCTGCTTACATAGATGAGTAGTTATTATCTTGTATAAGGTCCACTTCCTTATTTATCTTCATATTATTAGTTAGGAATATCACGTAATAATATTAACATAATATCACCGTTAAAATAATTTTTTTCTTCTCTCTCACACCGACACAATTCTCCCTCTCACATGGATTCTCTTGGCACCTCGCTCTCTCTCTTCTCTCCCTCCTTATCTCTCTCTCTACTTTTTCATTTTAGTCTCAATTGCAAAATTGTAGAACTTAATTTTTAATTTTCTTGTCTTTCTCAAATTAATTTTCAATTCTATGGTCCAAGACTAGATTTAGGAAAATTTGAGAGAAAGTAAATTGCATAAGACAGTTAATTGACAAAAAACCAAAACCGTCCATATAATTTCACTTCCCTAAAAAATTATGCACCCTTCTTTTTTTACCGCCTAATACTTTGACTGATTGATTGAATAGGCCAAACAAATATTATTAAAAAAATGTTTACAATCAATCGGTTGGGATCGCAGTTGATTTTAGAACGGACAAAACTTTTGTGTTTTTTATGTCTTTTATGTAATTCTATTTGGAAGATTCCATGCGGCAAAGGTAATGTTTGTTTGGGATTTAAATATCCTTTACCTTATATGAGTTCTTATTAAACAAGTACTTTTTTTGCTTTGAAATTACTTGGAGCAATAGTTCGGCATGTGATGGGATCTCATTGTTTTGTCCAACACGTGAGAACTCCTCGCCGTGAAGAAGACATTGTGAAGGAATCGAATTCCTTAGTACAAAAGCTTGAAAAAGGATTCGGTGGGGTCTTGGGCAGATGAGAATTCAAGACGCCTGCATCAATTCAACTTTGACATTGTCAAATTCTTCGAGTAACAAATATTATTTGGCTATATTTTGTAAATCCAATAAATATTATAATATTAGAATAGTGTGGGTCGGCGTTCTCTTGTTCTTTTAGTTTAAAGAATTTTGTATTCTTCAACATTTAATAGTGAAATTTTACTGTTGTATTTCGTTTGTGGACATAAGCTTAGTTGTTGAGGTTCTTATTTTTCTATTTAGTTGCATTATTATTTTGCTTGTGGTCTTAGTTCCTAGCATATAGGATATTAGATAATACATGTTAATTCCGTATAAGTGGATAAATAACAAGATTAAATATGGGACAAATGTTACGCATTGTAATCCAGTGTTTGGTAAGACACTAAATAAAAATGGGATAATAGAATAACAATTACATATTGACTAAAAAACTATTGGTTTTGTATAATTATGAATGTTTTTGTTTATCTATTGGATAAAATAGTAAATTCATAACTTAATACGCTTAAATTAAACTATAATACCACATTTCTAGGTAGTATTATAATCAACTCAATAATATGGATAGTGTATTACTTGAATAAGTATTTGAAATAAAACTATATATAATACAGAAAGTTTTTTGCAATCAAATACAGTATAAAGTTGGATTAGAGAATTTTAATCTGTTGTTACTTTGTAATCCACCCTTTAATACTACAACTAAACGAACTCCTAGGATTTTTATTTTTTTTACTTTTCTGTGCAATTCAGTTAATTGTAAACTTCAAACGTTGAGGTTTTTTTGTGAAGAGGTATTAATTTTAAGGTCTGGCACGCTGAGAAGTAAAAATTGAGCTTTTTTTTTTGAATTGGTGTTTTATTTTGGTTTCATGAATTTAATAATAAATTGAAATGTTAATTTGTGTAGATGTTCGAAGCATTAGCCAATGACGTCTATAGAAGGCTATCGTACTATATCTCACTCAGGTAATCCACCTGTCTCTAAATTATTTGATTTCTAGATTAATTCTTCCACTTAAAATGCATTTGTATACCTTTTACATATACATTTGCCGATGGGATCTGAATGTTAGATTTTCATACTCTTATGTATAATAAGAAATTATTCATAGCAAATCATACTTATCTTTCACCTTGCTTCCATGATAGCAATTATCATAGTAATACTACTTCGTGTGGGACTATCATTGAGTGACAATGAGCTGGATGGCAGCGTATTAGTGGATGGTAGCAATACCTATATGTACGATCTAATTATACACCTTATTTTGTTTTGAGATTCTTTTAATAAACTTTAATTTCTATGATTTGGTGTGTGTTTTTGTTGTGATAAGGCATATTTCAATTGCTTATAACCAACATTGTTACCAATGGTGTATCCAACAGATTAATGTTGCCATTACCATTGGGTTCTTTGATGATAAGTCCTCTCAAGAATCCAGGAAAAAAAAATTAATTGGAGAACTTCCTCAATTCAAAGGGCAACAATCCACCAATTTTCAATCTATCATAATGCCAAGAGGTAATAGATTCTTAACTTTCCGACGAAGGAACATCCATTTTGTAGTTGGTGGAGATGCATAATTTTTATCATGACTAGTCTTCAAGATATATTTAAGGGAAAATTTCATCAAAACCTCATGTAGTTAGATCTTAATTTAATGACATCCCTTCTCGATTTTGAATTTTTACTGACACTCCCTTGTCAGTTGTTGTTTGCTTACGGCGTTAATGGCAAACAGTGTTTTACAAAAATACCCCTTAATATTTTATTAGACAAATTTCATCTACACCCCTTGTAAATAGACCTAACTTTAATTACACCCCCTCTCAATTCTAAAATTTCACTGCATTTCCTTTTAGCTCTATTATATTAGTATTCAAGTTTATCAATTTAATATTTAATATTATCAAATTAATTTCTTTTATTTAATTTAAAAAAAACTAAGATCCATCTCGTCAAATTAACACAAAATTGATATTTAATTTTGATGATGCACAAACTAGTTTTATGCACCACATATCAAGTAATTAATAATTAATGCAATAATTAAGTAGAAAGAAAGTAACACAAGTAAGACAAAGATGTAAAATGGTTTGATCAACATGACTTATTCCACTATGAATGACTAGGATGACCTGACGTTTTATTACTTTGAGGAGTGTAAGGAAATCAAGAGAGAGTGACGGAAGTACAAGCTGTGAGAGAGATAGAGCGATAACAGATGTGCTCGATGCCCCCCATATACTAGCGGGACTTACAATTTATATCGTCTCTTAATAGACTGAGGTGCCTTTTCAATTACTAAATAGCTAACTTGGTAGAGCTGACGTCGTTCTCTTAATAGCTGAGGTAGTTACGGAGCTCCTTTTAAAATCAGGACAAAAGATAACGCGGTTGATTTTTTGAAGGCGGCATGGATGAGATTCTTGAGATGGTCTTGTCTACTCTTTGGTGATATAGCTCCTCGAACCCTAGTGAGCCTGACTGGGCATGGACCTCTTTTGGGCTGGGCTCATTCGTCTAGTTGGACTCTTTACTCAAGCTGGCTTAAAACTTGTGTTGGCCCTTGGGTCTAGCCCATCAAATTTAATTAAACTAACATTCAATTATATTAATTTAATATTTCATTTCATAAAATTAATATTATTTCCTTAATTTAACACTAAATTACTATTTCATTTCACCAAATCAATACCAAATTGATAGTCAATTTTATTAAATTAAAAATTAATATATTAAATTATATTAATTTAACATTTAACCTTATCAAATTAATATCATTTTTTAATTTAACACCAAATGAACATTCAATTTC